TTCATAGGCTCCTCATAACAATAAAATGAGACAATGCACATGTATAGTGTCTGGACATAGACACTTAATAAGGGCTGTATAGCCCTTAATAAGGGCTAAGTGTTGGCTATTTAGACACTAAAGCTTTTTGAAAGTTATTCAACACAGTAAATTCAACATTAGTAGTTTATCTGAAATTATGGTATTGGTTAAAATGGAAAACTATTTAAAAATACAATTTGAAATCAAAAGATACTAGTCATCGGGAGCTTCCACTGCTACTAGGCAGTTATGAATTACCTGCCCAAGGGAAAGAATTGGAAAAACTGAGCCTAGAAAATAATGCAGCATTTTTGAAAGGAGTGTTACTATGTTCAGATTTAAAAAAGGTGGAGGAAAAATCAAAATTGCAAGTGCAGTTAAAAGAAGATTAATTATTTTATATTTATTCAGAGCAAAGAGCCAAACTGGGGAGCAAGTGTTAACCACGGTAATCACCTTGCAATCTAATCAGGAAAGGATTTGGGGTATTGTAAAATCAGTGCAGTGTTCATCTTGGGGCCCAAGGCAGTGCTGGATTAGGTTTCAAAGGGACAGATGCATAACAAGAGGCACTGTTATTACTGAAAAGCCACGGTTAGAGTCTAGAAGGAATACTTTTACAATATTAATCACCTCTGGACACAAAAGATATTACTGCCCCAGAGAAGGGAACAATGTCACAGCAAAAGCACCAATTCCACTAGCTCTCAAGAAAATAAATTTATAGGAGGAAAGAGTGAAAACAAACAGCTCAGTCACACTTGGGAAAATATTTAAATAATTAATCTAAAAATATCAAGATAAATCATAATGTATTCAATGTAAAAAAGGAGGACACATTAGTGAGCAAGGAATTTAAATACGTGGCCCTTCTCTGTGAAGAGTATTCAAATAAAAAAGGAAGATGAAAGGGAACCCAATTTCCAGTTAAAAAATAACTATAGGCCAAGATGACAATCCTTTTCAAAGAATACTAATGATTCACATAAAAACAATCTACCAAGACAGAGACAGAAAAAATACTAGCACAGTTTCTCAAGTAAGCTTGAGATGTAAGGAGTTTTGTATTCTTTCACCTTCCAAATACATAAGCTATGGTTAGATTTAAAATAGATTTAAAAATGAGACAAATGTAAAACACAAATTGACAACTCAGAAACAACTTTAAGATTTACAGTTAAAATAAGCTATAGTTTTTCATACATTTTTAGAGATACAGATCTAGATCAAATTTGAAACTTCTATCGAAAATCATCTAATTAGCCTCAAAGATCTATCAATCCCATTATTTTTTTCAAACATACAATAAAATGATACTGAAAATTAACTGATCAATAAAACCCCAATTTTTTGTTACAATTCATTTTTATTTATCTTGAGTGGGCAGACCCCCATAAGATAATTACTATAAGTTTCTTTGAAGAAAAATACTTTTTGTTTTTAACTGAGCCTGAGTTAAGACTGCTAAGAACAAATGTGATAAAGCATCTGTCCCATTAATTTCTCACAACATGTGAAAGTTGAAATAAAATACAGAATCTTCTGACATATGCAAGATATTCATGCACTCTTGTAAACAAATATAATTTAGTAGCCTATTATGAAATGTCAATATTATCTTTCTTCCAGTTGTATGTTGCTTTACAAGTCTCAGACTTTTAAAAAAATTTCTAGTACATTTTTAACCTTATTGCCAAATATTGGAGATAAACCTCCTATTTGTTTCCAAGTAGTTGTTAACTAAATTCTAATTGGCATTTGCCAGGTGTTTTACAGTTTGCAAAATAATCCCCATTTGCGTTGTTCCATGGGATAATCCTATGAAGAAGGATTATTTCTTTTTCGACATCAAAGGAGAAAAACTGAAGTTTAGAAGGAATGAAAAGTATCAGGTAGCTAGTAAGTAAATGCAAAGTGAGAACTCAAGCCCTGCTCACCCAACACAGGAATTGTATTTCCCCATTACTTGACACTGGAGCCATCCAAAAGCAGAGTTATCAGAAAGGGTTCCCAGTGAAGATGATTGAAAAACCAAGTAAAATTAATAAGACACTTTGAATGAATGTTTGCAGGATACTGCAAAAGCAACGGAGGAAAAGAAAAATATTAGAAAGACAACTATAACCACCAGTATTGTGTGTTCCTGTACAGTCTCCAAAGTGTTTTCTATACATTATGTCTCCTGAATATTACTGTAATCTATGGAGACAAGGCTGATTTAGTCTCTTGTCTTACAGGACTAAATTCTAGGCTTGAAAGCTACAGCTGAAGTTTAACTTTGGGTCTTCTGCAGTCAAATGCTCTACCACTGTGCTATAGCCCCAGACTTTGGGTTTTCTAATCCTATCTAGTCTAGTTTTCTTCCACTGCAGGAGTGTTTTCAAAATATGGCCCCCAGCTGGCGACCAGAGTCTCACTGATGGCTGCAAAGGGATTCAAAATGTCTGCAGGCCCCTGTTTTACAATATGATGCCTTTAAAAAAAATATTTCCATAGGTTTTTGAGGGACAGGTAGTATTTGGTTACGTAAGTTATTTAGTGGTGATCCATGAGATTTTGATGCACCCATCACTCAAGTAGTATACATCTTATGTATGAACTCATTTCCATTTCTCATATAGTAAAACTAAGGGAACAAGGTCTCCAAATTTGTTGATGTTCCTTGTTATCACCAAGTTATTTATCCACTGGAAAGTGTAAACTTGTGAATGCAGTTAAAAGGAGTTTGTCTAGCTAAGGTCTTCAATATTTAGGAATCAATGCACCACATACTTCATAAACACAAAAAGTAGGAAAAACAAACTTAAATTAGTCCTTTCTGTTATGTTCCTTCTTGATACTTGGGATCTTTCCTTAATGAGCTAGCCTTCCAGTGTTGCTGCTATCCTGACCACTCTCCTAATGCCCCAAGCCTAGGGCTACAGTTCTCTGAGTTGGTTTACTCCATTATTGCCAGGAATGAGCCATAATGGTTCCAGGAAAGCTGTGTTTGGAGGCTTTGAGGACAGGAGAATCCCCTATGTCAGGTAACACTGGAAAGGCATGGTCAATGACAAGTTATGCAATAGGAATATATTTGCAATCAGAAAATCTAGACAGAAGCTGTTTTTTCTCAATATATTTAAATATTGTGTTTTTAAATTTAACATTGTTTCCGTATTGAAGTGCATTTAGAAAGGAGGCACTGCAATTGTTTCAATGCTTGGGGCTGCTCCAGAGGCATTAATCCCGTCTTGGCTAGGGACCTGAAGGGCAGGATTCTTAGTCAGTTATGTCACAGGTGAAAAACTGGGAGCTGTCTGCATGTATTTTATGGTTCTTTCAGCTGTTAGGAAATGCAACCCTCAAATTATTCTCTGCATAAGTCTTAGCTATAGGTGATTAAAAATAGACAGGGAGGAGGGAAGGATATAGTTGCAGTTTGCAGGACATAAAAAATGCACATGCTGCTAAATTGTGCAAGCCACGGAGAACACTTCTCACAGGTGTTCCACTCTGCAGAGGTTACTCATTTGCCTCCCAGTGCAATCCAAGGTGTTGACTGGAGACTTTAAGGGGCCCTCACCCTTTCTCTGAATCTTAGATTCCTGGAGACACCAATACTTACCTGAGCTCAGAGGCAACCCTTGACACACCACACTGTTCCCAACTCTGAAGTGCAGGGCACTGGAAGCTGGGTGTTTTTCTCAAGGAAGGTTTTTGCCTCTGGAATTTCCTGCTTTTTGCAGCCTGCCAGAGCTCTGCCTTACTGACCTTCAGGGACTTGTGAAAGACTTGTTTTCAACATACCCTTTACTGATGAGAAGAGATCTTAAGATCATAATTTTGTAAAAAAGATTTTAAGCAATTATCATAGCTCATGTTCTTTTGGGTTAAAATGATTGAATTTTGGTGCTGTCCTTCTGTAGCAACTTCAAATAAGGTACAATTTTAAGAATAAACACACCAAAAAGCGTCTGTCCTTAGTATCGACACTGCCGACCTAGATGTGAAGATATTTGGATTCTAAAAATAGAGAAACTGTAAGTCAGATTTATGTCCGTTCTCACGCTGGTACCTCAGCTGCGCTGGTGCTTGCATTAACCCTGCATTCCAAGGTGGGCTATAAACACAACCTGCTCCTTCAGAAAGCTCTAGGATGTTGTGTTTGTGTGTTTGTCACATCTCAAGCCCACCCTGGGAGAACAACATTGGCTTTGGCTGGACGTTAAGATATTTATTCTAGACGATTACGCCAAGACATTAACAGCTGCAGGATTAATTATTTACGGAGTGAGTGTCAATCATCTGAGAGAAGAACCAAAGAAAAATATTTTAAGATCATCTGGTTAAAAAAAAAAAAAATCTCTGCTATATAATACAGTTCTCTGGTCATTTATGACTCTTGAACTTCTCCCCAAAGAAGTAATCTCAGAAAACTGCTCTCTAAAATTATTTTCCTTAAGTGTTCTAAGTGCTTTCCCTTTCAGAACCAAGTACCTTGGCCATGTTTGCACTAATTTTCAGAAGATGCCCTCTACCTCAGGGTAACCGATGACAGGTTTTAGTTTTGAAAACTTAAACACGGAAAAGAAATCCGGAGGAAAATGAGCCCCCCGCCCACTAGACTTTCAGATCCGCGGCGAGGCTGCGATGCCGTCTGCGCTGCGGGCCTTCCCGGCTCCGCCAAATATGCCGAAGCTGCTCGCTATGGTCTGCGAGCCCAGGGCTGGTCAAAGAGGAAAAACAAATAGTTGGTCTGACGATCCGCAAGAAGAGAGTTTCACTCTGGCTTGACTAATATTGGAAGCATCCGCCCCACCGCGCGGCTTGGCATCTCGGCTTTGGGACCCCTGCCATTGCCAAGGATCTCTTCGGAACGCGAGCCCTGGGGCTGAGGACCCCCGGGAACCCCTGGTCTGGACTGAGCCTCCTCTGGCTCGCAGTGCGCGCACGCCTGGAAAGGCGGGATTTAAGGCAGCGATGCTGCGGGAGGCTCTGCAGTGTCAACGAGCCCCCGAACGGTCCCGCCTCATTCCCTCTCGTGTGTGTGCCTCGCAAGTCTCTGCTTGGTAAACCGTCACAGCTTCGGCGCGCGAGAGTGGCGTTGGCACGGCCAAACCCCGGGGTCCTCGGCCAGACCAGGGGGGCTGGCGGGCGGCGGCGCCGGGCCGGGCGCGCCCCGCGGGCTCCGGGCACACGCCCCTCACCTGGGCGAGGCCGGGCGCGCAGGCGCTCAGCGCGGGGACAGCGGCCGGGCGCCTAAGCCCCGCGCCGGCAAGAGTTGGACAGTTCCGGGGCCGCGCCGGGCCGAGCTGTCGCCGGCGCCACCTCCACCTCCGCCGCCGCCACCGCCCGGGCTGCAGCAGATCGCGGGAGAACGTCTGCGCGAAGCCCGGGTGCAGCCCTGGCGGGACCGCAGCCACCACCGGAGCGTGAGCAACAGCTTCCCGGCTGGAGGAGCCACTGCCCCACGCGCCCGCGGCCCGCGCGCCGAGGTAAGCTCCGGGCGCCCAGCCCAGCCCGGCACCCCCGGAATAGGCGCCCTCTGCTTGGCCGGCCCCCGCCCGCCTCCGCGTAGCGAGCCTGCACCTGGGCGCGCCGCCCGAGGTAACGGCCAGGAGGCCCCCTCCGGATAGAGTTTGCACTTTGTCCTGCAGTCCCACTTGTAGAAGAGGGCGCCCAGGCGCCTGTGGCTTCCACGACCTAATCCTAACTCCTGCGAGTCCCTGGAGTTAGGATTAGGGCGTGGAAGCCCCAGGAGCAGACTCAGCTGTTCCCCAGGGTAGGCTCCAATTCCCAAGGACGGATGGAAAGGGGAGAGGACGAGAGAGTGCCTCGCTGTGGTAAGCCGCAGCGCCTGGTCACCTGGGCTGGAAGTTTGGGGCTTTTCTTTCTCTCCCTGACCTGGAAACGAGTAGTTACTTAGGGGACCGAGGTGTGGGAGGAGAGTAGCAGTCGAAGCTTGGGGTCGCAGGTGAGCTCTGCAGCAGAACCCAGATGAGATGGGGCAGAGGGGCACAGAGAAGGTCCCCAGTCTGCACTTGTTGGGAGCCCTAAGGGGCGGCCTCGGCCACTAATCTCTGGTGAAGGTGTCAGCGCAGGGTGGGAGGACACTGTGGGACTGCGGAAGGGACTAGGAGAAGGGGAGGGGGAGGACCATCTGTTTCGCCACTGTTTTGTGCGGGGGCCCGTGGGGAGAAGGGAGAGCTGGCAGGACGATGCTTCCCTAGACTCTGGAGGACAAACAGTTTTTGTGGTGAACCTGAATAGGGAGTGCTGTTCTTCGGGGGAAAAAAATTGCCAAGAAGTATCCCCCGTCTCCCCACGCCCAAGAATACAAAATAAACGCGGCTTTGGAATGCTCTGAAAAGTTCTTGGGTTGGGAAACATCTTCTTTCATTGTCATACAGAGATGAGGTTTGCAGTTCTTTTTGGTTTTTGCTTTGCTGAGGTATACACACCAAGGGGAATGCAAACTTTGTCAAGATGTAGTAGCAAAAAGATATTCCTATAGAAGGAACAAAACATTTGTGTTATAGGGCCCAGCCTACAGCATGGAAACTGGCAGCTTCCACACAGTTCATGAAACTGTGGGAAATGCATTTATCTAATTAAAAAGAAGGCTTTTCATAAAGTCAATAAGCTACGCCTTAGATAAGTTAGAGGCTTTGGCTTGAAAGGACTCCCTTAAATGTTCCAGGGCCTAATTCACCGGTTTTCAGCATCCTTTAATCTTATTTTGATGCCATATGTGCATTGAGTATGTGCTGCCCCTTCCCTGTAATAGATAAATGCCTTTAGAATGGAAAATACAGCATTGAAAGTTCTGTTACTTGAGGTTTTTAACATGAAAAAAAAAAATACTTATTTGATCAAAGTGTTGGTTGTTTTTCAGATTCTATATTCCCATAAATTAAATATTTGTGACATTATAATTTACACTCTTACCTATTTCCAAAAGTGATTTGAGGAAGCTTGGGGTGAAAACCACAAATCAAATAGCTATTCTTATAGATCTCCTTGACCTCTCGTGGATGCATTTGTAGTAAAATGCTTTGGGGAAGGTGAATTCTCCTAACAAAGGAAAAATTACTGTCCATTCTGGAATCATCCTGGTGATTTTAATGTTTTGCAGCATAATTTCTTATGTGCTTTGTTTGCAGTATATTATTTTACATTACATAAGTAGTGATCTCTTTATAAAAGTTTAATAACCACTAAGTATCATCTATATTGAAAAAAATCATGTTGATATCTTACAGCATTTTAACAATATACAGATTCACAGAGCAAAAAGAAAACAATAAATTTAATGTATTTTTCTTCAACTGAGGTAGACAGGAAACCAATGGAGGTGTCTCCTCTACAGTCTAACCAGAGAAGAAACTGTCATTAGTACTTGTCACCCAAATGTGGCCAATTAGTGAGACCTGTCAACATCTGGAGGATAACTTTAAAAAGTGTAGCTATTAGATGAGGATCGATCAAAGCATATCAGGTGCTCTCAGCATTCTTTTTCTCAGGCAAGTGACCTGACTCAACGAAAAAAAATATCTTTCAAAACAATTCTGAAAGGTGAAATGTCTATACAGACTAATGCCATGTGGGGTTGGGCACCATGAAAAAGACAAGGATCTTAAGTCTTTGGACTGGCCACCCTGCCTCCCCTGCCTCTAGAGTTTTTCTCCCAGCTGAATTTGAAGATATCATTGCTTGATTTTTAACAGCAAGAATTTATATTTAAAAAAATGAGCAATTAGCTAACTGCTTACAGGAGTGAGTCTTTGTTCACAGAAATAAAGAGCAAAATTGCTTTCTGCTGTTCCTGTAATACCCTATGCTATATGTCTTCAAAGACCTAAAGAACAGGGAGTGTGTGTCTGTCCCAGTTTCCCATTGCTTTTTATATGCCTCTGGTTTTTATTATAACCCCTCCACACCATTTCACTCTCTCTATTTTGACACCCCCAACCCCCAATTCCTGTCTGTGTCCCCACTGTGTCTCAATATGGTCTTTTTACCTTTTCTTTTTCTTTCTTGTTTTTTAAAAAATTCTGGGGATTTCTCTTGATCTCTGTTGCTTTATAGATTATAGGTTGTCTCTGTTTTGCTCTTTTGTATGTTACTTTTTATTCAGTTGTTTCTTTTTGTTAGTGCTAGATTATTTCTTCCTGAAGTGACATCCTAGCTCTACTATTCCTTCTAAATTTTACATTTACACTTTGAACCACCTAAGAGATAACTTTATATTGCTCTCAGGTGCCTCAACTCTACCAGGTCTAACTAAGCTCTAATTAACATCTTTCTCCTAAGTGAACAGGGATGACTTTGTGTCAATTTTAATATTTCTCCTAGTCACTGGTGACCCTCCCAGTATCTTTGCCTTTCACATAAAATTCACAAACAAGTCCGATAGAGTTCATCTCAATGATGTTTTATGATGCCTGCTTCATCTTTCTATTCCCATGGTGGCTATTTTTTTCAGTCTTCTTATCTCTTTCTAGAGACTACCACAATGGCTTCCTTACTTGTTTCCCATCTCCATTCTCTCCCAATTTATTTCACACTTGGTTTTGCAGAATAAGCTTCCCAAAGAGAACCAAGTTTAATCACTGGCTAGTAAACTTTTCCTTAGTGTCCTACCAAGTGACATATTAAGCCCTTCTCAAACAGTGAAGAACTTCTGCGGTCCAGCCCCAAAGTAGCTCTGCATTTTTTACTTTGATCTCATTGGTTGATAGATCCAGTCATTAATTTATTGATTTCTTCAGTAAATATTTGAGTGCCTACTACATGACCAGCACGGCACTAGGTGATAATTTTAAAAGCACCATGTGTATTGGCTCCCTGATACATTTAAAATATTATTTCTCAATGTTGAACTCTATTAAAATATAACCTTAAGTGGTTGGAATGGAGTCCCAGAGATCCTACTAACTTCCCCTCCCTGCTCTTACTAGTCTTGAGACATCATCATAGGGTCCCAAGTCTCCTTGACGCAATTTGAGACTTCTTTAGGCTGAAGGTAGTATTTCCTTAACACAGCAGGTTGTCTTAACTCTGTGTCCTTGCTTTTGCTGTTCCCTCTGCCGAGAAGGGGCTCTCTTACTTCCCTACAATCATTTGCTCTTGTCAGAGAGTCAGTGCAATTGCTACATGCTTCCTGATCTCCCTCTGCACTCCAGCTTTTGCTCCAGCAAACCCTGTTATATTTTGCTAACCTCTTCCCTGTGGACTACGAGTCAGAGTCTTCCTAATATGTATGTGCTTTCTGTATTCTCCCCTAAGGGCACTGCACCAACCTTGCTTAACATGGGACCTTCATTTCCTGAAATACCCGGCTCAGGGCCTGCCATATCATAGGACATCAACAAAAAATTTAACTAGTTGGGTTGAATTCTATGCAGTTCTGTAGTCCTAATTTATGTAATAACTATTTTATTAACACCTTAACAGGGTTCTTATAGTAGAACCAGGGCTTCTTAAACTTTAGTGTGCATATAAATCATTACAAAAATCTTATTAAAATGCAGATTCTGGTTGAACAGGTCTACGATAAAGCCCAACATTATGCCTTTCTCACAAGCTCCCAGGTAATTTTGAAATAGGTGATCCTTGAACCATGTTTTGAGAAGCAAGGCAGTAGATGATGCATAACAGATTTGGGGTTTTCTAGCAGTCCCTGCCTCTCTGCCTGGAGATTTTCCTACAGTTTGTTTCTGTTTCAATATTATTTTCTATTCTGAAAGTACGGTGGGCTTGGATATGCTTCCTGAAACTGAGTGAAAGGTTTGATTATTCCCTGGTATTTTTACCTCATTTTACTGATAGATGATTGCAGTTGCTAGTTCTCCTGACTACATTTTCCTCTGGCCAGTTGCATTGCTTTGTTAAATATTCCTTCTCATTTCCCTATCATATGCAGATCGAAGATTGTGAGATTGCGGCTGTTCTCCTTTCCCACTCTGGTTTGACTTTTTCTTTTTTGTCTCTGCTCTCTTGGTTTCTTAAAATTCTCTTCAGGTGCCTTGGCTGACTCTATGTCCCACCTGTTTTCCTACTGCTTCCAAAATTTTTAAGTGAAAGGAGCACTGAAATAGGGCACAAGAGACTCAAGCTCTCTTTATTGCTAGGGTGAGATGTTGGGCACAGCTGTTTCTTTTCTGGGCTCTTGTATCACTTGTAGATGAAGGGCGTGGGTTACTTCCTGGGTCTACTTTAGCACTAAAATACCATGTGGGATCTGCACGTGGGGCAGAAGGAGCAGGTTGAGGGAAGAAAACAAAAATCTTCTGATGATGCTGGTGCTGATGTATGCCCCCGTCTGGTGTTCCCGTTTCAGGTTCCTGTTCTAGATAAACAACTTGAACTTTAGTTGTTATTCTAGCTCTAATTGAAGAAATATTCCTATTTCTTAAGAAAATGAATATTCCTTGGTATCTTTGAATCCAGTTGTTCTCACCCCGGAATTCACACTGTAATCACTTTGGGAGCT